TAGAGTGGCTTTTAGATCACCAGTTACAAAGCTCAAGAGATTCAAATTACAATGTCATGGTAACAACATTTTAAACTGAAAAAATGAAAATCAGAGGTCTACTTCACATAAGGGAGCTTAAAGATAACAAAGTGTCTCCTATAATAAAATAAAAAGAACAAAGGCTAGCATTTTTAAGCAAATTTGTTATATATCTTAGAGTTTGTTATATGCTGACATAATTATACAAGGGATTTACAAGCCAAAGTCATGTCATGTGAGAAATAGTAGAAGAAACTGAGAATGTTTATCTTGGAAGAGAAAATACTCAGAGTAAATATGAGCAGTCTTCAAATGCCTCATGTGGAAAGAGGAACAATTTATTCTGTGTAATTTCTAAGGAGAGAACTAGAACCACTGCATGTAAATTACAGGGAAACAAATGTCAACTCAATAGAATAGGCTTAGGAACAAATATGCACACCTACACCACACCTAGCAAGGATTGTGGATCACTTATCAGGGTTGCCATAAAGGGGAGTACTGGATGGAAAATTAGACTAGCTCCTTTTAAGACTTCTTTCAAATTTATAATTTAAAGTCTATCCATTAGAAATAAGCTTATGGCCAGGCATGGTTGCTCACGCCTGTAATCTCAACACTTTGGGAGGCCAAGGTGGGCAGATCACCTAAGGTCAGGAGTTCGAGACCAGCCTGGTCAACATGGTGAAACCCTATCTCTAGTAAAATTACAAAAATTAACGAGGCGTGGTGGTGGCACCTGTAATCCCGGCTACTTGGGAGGCTGAGGCAGAAGAATCTCTTGAACCTGGGAGGCAGAGGTTGCAGTAAGGCAAGATCATGCCACTGCACTCCAGCCTGGGTGACAGAGCAAGACTACATCTCAAAAACAANAAAAAGAAATAAACTTATTACAAAATAAGCGTTTCTTAAATATTTTTTCTAAACAACACTGGTAATATAATTGTAGAAAATGATACCATTCTCCCTTTATTTCTACTAAAATAAGATAAACTCAATTACCATTTATCAATTAACCCTGAGTAAATTTAACCTTAAAAATCATCTCCCAGCAATATGTATCATTTATTAAACAGAAAAATAATCTTTATGCATATATTCCTCTGAGTGTCTAGCTTTATAAAGCAAAATATATTGTGAGGCCACGCTGACTATAAACAAGTATTATTCAGATCAAAAATGAAAGAATGACAAATATTATTTTGATAGGCCAAAAATGAAAGAACGACAAATATTCTTTTGATAGGCCACACAGAAAAATCTCAAATTCTGGCTTCACTCAACAGTACACACTACATAAGCTAACATTCAATCACATTTAAGTACAATGAACTTCATTACCTCTGAGCTAGCGTATTGTGACTGTAATTTTTTGCATTCGTCTTTGAGTTTTTCAGACTCTCGCTCACGTTCTAACGTCATGTTATCCATTAGTGTTTGAACTTGGACCAGTTCTTTCTTTAGCACTGCAACATCTTCTATACCAGGTCTCTGAAGCTGTGAAGCAACAAATTCTAATTAAAAATTAAAGTGAAAAACTAAAATAATATACATTTTTTAGAATCAATTTCACTACAAAGAAATCAAAAGAGAAACAAACTTCAATATCAATTTTTGGATTCCAAACAACACTGGTACCGTCTCCCACAATAAGCTATCTCCTCTTCCCATCCTACCTCGTATTTAACAGTATTACAACTCAAGGTGCAATCTAGTGAATTCAGAATTATCTTTATTACTTTGTTTTCCTTTGCTTCACAAACTACATCTATTTGTCATAACAGTGACTTGAAAACGTTACATTCCTTCTTTTTCTATCCTAGAAAACTGGTAACAAAAATGAAGGAGTAGACGTAAGCAAAATTAGAGTTTGCTGCAGGTTGGATATAGTTAATTTACATATTTATTGAGAACTAAATAAAGGAAATAAAGTCAAGGACAGATCCAAGATTATTAAGCCTTAGGAGAGGATTAGAGATGTATGGTTCCAATAACAGAAATACAGTAATGGAGGAAACTTTGATTTTATACTTGTTGAATTTGAAATTATAGCTAGAAATTCAACACAAAGTACCCTAAAAACAGATGGATTTATAAAACTAACATGCAAGAGAAGACCACAATCAGAGATGCAGATGTGAAAATTACTAAAATGACAGATGATATTTAGATAGAAACAACAAAAATGTTAAGGTAGTAAGTTATGTATCGTAACGTTCCATTTTTATTTTAAAAATCATATATAGAATACGCAAGTGGTAGAATATAGGGACTTGTTTATATCTTCCATTTCACTCAAATTATATTTTTAAAAATTTTCCTTCAGGGCATTTTATTTTTAATTTAGAAAAGTTTCAGAGTACATCTCAATAAATCATTCCTAAATTACCAGTTCTGTCTTCAGATCTTGAATTACAGTTGCCTCTTTGTTTAATTCTTCTGTCATATGTGTCACTTTCTGTTCAGCGGCTTCTCGGAGACTCCTTTCTTCATCATACTTTGACTTTATATCTAATTGAAGATAGTTATATAAATATTAGTTTTATGACATTAAGGGAAGGACAGTTTTATAAGTTTTTGTACATTACCTTGCATATCTGTATGTCACTCTAATTCAAATTCTCATTCCTTAGATAGCCATAAATATATAAATTTATACTTATATATTCATTACAATTATAAATTGTAAATAAGTAAATTTATACTTCCAATTACGTAAAATAAACTTAAAATTGTTTGTCTACATAAATTCCACTCAACATTATGTTAATAATTAGCATTTTAATGTACACTTAATCACATAAAATATTTTACCTAAAAGCACATTAAAAATATATATATGTGATAGTATAACCAAGTGTTATATTTATACTATATTATTTAATTCACTTCTTTAAAATGTTCCTTTTTTAATCTTTAAGCATACCACAAAAGAAAATGTATCTTCTCTAAATTTCAAGAAGAATCTACAGAGAAATATACCAGTCCTTTGAAGGAAGGCAGCCAGAGGACAAACAAAATAATTTACATAGCAACTCTGAAATCATTAAATTCCATTTATTACCACTGTAGTTTATCACAAATGCTTTAAGACACTAAAATACTATATTTATTGCTAGGGTATATAATGGCAAAAAGGTAATGAGATTGATTTACTGGCTAAAACATTCTAACTCAATTACCTGCAATTTCAGTAGCAAGTTGGGCTGCTTTCTGTTCAAATAAGTCTTTCATTTGCTTAATATTAAAATTTTCTGTTTGGGCTTCTTCTAACTGCTGTTCCAAAGACTGTAGTTCTACAAAAAAAGTGTCATGGTTATTCAAATACCATGTTAATTACATACGCTACACTGTTATTACTTATATTCATTACAATTGTAAAGATGACCAACATAAGTTTATTATCCAATTACATGTAGAGTATTTTGACATTTCAAGAATTAAGTATATCTGATTCAGTTAAGGCACAAATCATAATTTACAAACATACAATGCAAATGAAATAGTACTTAGAATCACCGTCAAATAATCTACAAATATTTGATTAAAACTTATTTTGATTTCACATTTCACAGTTATTTTCCTATATCTATTAACTGACCAAAAAGGAATATATTCTTTTTTTTTTTTTTAAAGGAATGGGGTCTCACTATGTTCCCAAGGCTGGTCTCAAACTCCTGGGTTCAAGCCATCCTCTCCTATCAGTCTCCCAAAGTGCTGGGATTACAGGCATGAGCCATCAAGCCTGGCTCAAAAAGGAAAACATTCTGCCCCTCTGATAAAATCAGTTACAAAGCAGGATGAATTAGAAATAGTTAATCAAGGTCTTGAAATTTTTAATTTCTTAAAGTATGCAGTCAACTCCTAATACTTTATTATAAAAAACTATCTTACTCCTAATATAGACTTCATTTTCATTAAACAACCATATTAATGTAATATTTGAGAAGTTTATTTCTTACTTCAAAATATAATGAACTAAAATTTTAGTTAACTGATTAAATTATGAAGTTCACATATAACTCTCTAAACCTCAAATATGACCATTATCTTCACATTTTAAAGTCATAAAGCATAACCACGAAACAAAATTCATTTGGCAGACATCAAAGTAAAAGAAAGGAAAAAAAATAAGAAGAAAAAGAAAATTGAAAAAATATCTGCTTTAAGTAAAGTTACCTGCTGATGAATCAGTCACCAACCCATCAGGTTTAGCCTCCTCAATTAAAACAAAAGACATAAACAAATGATTAAAAGGAAACAATAAAACTGTTAAAATTGCCAATGTTAAAAAATCTCTGAAAGTCACATTCTTTCAGGTAAGTAGTAAGATTTTGGTGAAAATTTAAATTTAGTAGTTTCCATTCTTCCAGATCTGTAAGAGACCAGTAGGCAGACTAGCATAATGATCTAGTTTCAGTTTACTAGTTCTAACATAGATTTTTATTTGTATGCTAATATATATGAAGTTATTATGGTCTTGTGATAAGACATCTTAAATTTCATGAATTCAGTAATAAAGAAATAGCACGATTATTATCATTATAAATATAGATTCTAAAACAAATACTTAAGTCAACTGGCAACATTCAGTCGTATTAGTATGTAGCTTTGAAGTAATTTCAAAGTTTGCTACATAGATGCTATATATTTTGCTGTAATAAGAACTTGGAGTGTTATCCCCCTCCACTCAAGCATGTGATGCCTGTTAGACCCTGTATATGAGAACTTGGCATGAACTTCTCCTCTCTCCTCAGTAATATTATATCGGACCTTATCATACCCCAGATCTGAGCTACTGACCTCAACTACTGGACTTCAAAATATGTATTAACCCAAGAGTTTGAAAGATACTTTGAAAGCTTAGGCCATGGCAGGCTGCACTTTGTTGGCTGATTTCATTGAGATCGGCAGCTCACGTTGCAACAGGGCCACATCCTGTTAGCCTTTGAGCTTTGAGTCTGGCCAGTCGACACCTACATCTCCTCTAGCAACAGGAGATCCCCACTGTCTGCGATCGCCACTATTTTGGATGCCATCTCTCCAGAGAAACTGCTCATAAAAAAGGTACACCTCAGTCCTTTTAGACTTTACTTTTCATGAAAGCCTGCTTCCATCCTCATAGAGTGACTAGACTTTGGTATTTCCCATAAGATTAGAACATTTTATTCTCTCCCTTTTAAGCACTCTGCACCTAAGAAAATTTCTCTTTGGTAATAAACCATGCAATATGTGAAATCATACTTCAAATCATGCTTCTTATTACAATCAAATACAACACCTATATTATTTGAACATTTGCATTAGTTAAAACATACTATCAAACTATCACTACTAAAATTTGCATTAGTTAAAACACGCTATCAAACTATCACTACTAAAAAAACTGGCTTTATAATCATAATTTTTAAATTCAGGACAAGCCAACTTTAAAAGAAGCAGAAATAACAGATTCCATAAGGCTTTATTTGTCACATGTAATAGGAACAAAATAATATACTACCTTGGCATTCTTTTTATATTTTAAAGAATTATACACATCTGAAAGAGTTTATAGTAATGCATTTCATTGTATATCTGACTTTTTATTTCTCTATACATTGAACTAAGACATACTGATTGCTAAGAATCATAAGTATTTAAAATACATTTTCCCCCAAAGGTAAACTTCCTGCCAAGATAACTTATAACTTGCACTGTGAAGAAGTTATTTAAATGTATTAAATGTGAAATAGTCATCTCAAATGTGGTAAACAATTTCCACTCTGTTGTCAGATACAGAAAAGAATACAGCCCATATATGATTAATTATTAATGGCATCTATACAAAACATAAGTAAATAAGCTGTAAGTATTTTGGACTACTAAAAACCTCTTTAATGTTAACAGAATCACCAATTAGAGAAGCTAAGTAGTAATAAAACTGATTATCTTGTTATTTGTTTTTGTCTTTTTCAGTCTAACTGACAATTCTTGGTGCAAAGACTAAAAAGCAAAAAAGACTCACTGAAAGTCACAATACGCCAAGATAATATACAAAGGGATTATTAATTACTTTACAAAAATATTAGAACTATTGCTGAAGGGTAACTACTTTTATTCTTACATATGATGACTATGGATTTGGCAAGATTTCATTAATCTTTGATTCTTCCTATAATTTCAGAATAAAGTCAAGATAATTTCAGCATAAAAGTCATAACTAGGTTATTTACTTAGGAAATACATTAAACTATATAAAATCTAAGATATAAAAAAAAAATCCTATCAGAGAGAACCACTTTTGATACAATTATTTTCTTCTGTTTTTTTCTATGTATTATTTTTACATAGTTAAAGGCATACAGCACGTGTGTGTGTGCATGTATGTACAAATAAACATTTTTCTATTTTTTAAAAACAACATTGTTAATAGAACAGGTTTCTCAGTTTTCAATCTTCACTAACATAATAATATTACTAGCCATTTATAGCTAGTAATATTTCTTTCCCTACCAATAGACACTTTAGTCATTATCAATTTGTCAGAAATTTAAATGCTTTGAAGAGATTCACTACTGCTTGAACCCATTATTTTTTAACCATTTAGGCATATTGCAAAAATTTAGAATACTATATAGCCTGGTATTTTACAAAACAACATATAGGTACCTGACACTTGGTTTTTTTGGGGGGAGGGTGGGGACAGAGTCTTGCTCTGCTGCCTAGGCTAGAGTGTAGTGGTAAGATCATAGCTCACCACAGTGCTGAAATGGAGAGCTCAAGTGATCCTCAGCCTCTCAAGTAGCTGGGACCACAGGCACATGGCACCACACCCAGCTAATTTTTAAATTTTTTGTAGAGACAATGGTCTCCCTGTGTTGCCCAGGCTGGTCTCGAACTCTTGGCTCAAGCAACCCTCTCACCTCAGCTTCCCAAAGTGCTGGGATGACAGACGTGGGCCCATCCAGTAACTGATTTTTATTGGAACACCTTTAAAAAAAAATTACATCTTCGCTCCTCATATATTTGTTTGCATTAAACAGAATTACAAGGAATATACACTGCAGGCTACTAAACACAGAGAAACAAATTAGGAAATTATATCAGGCAACCACCTGCTTGCAAAAAGGTATTAAGTTTAATTTTCATCAATAATAATAAACATGCTTTAAGTATTTTAAAAGCAATTACTTGCTGCTGCAGCCCTTGATATTTTTCTAATTCCTTCTTTAATTCTTCAGAGTACCATTTTTCTTCCTAATAAAAAAGATTTTTAATTAGTAAATTTAAAAAGCTGTATTATCTGAAACACTGAAAATAAACAAGTATAACAATTTTTATTCCCACCTTAAGTGAAGCCTGTAGGTCTTGGACCTCTTGTCTGAGTAGTGTTACATCATCTCTAAATAAAAATGGGGGGAAGGAATTAATAATGTCCTTTAATTAACAACCTGGTCTTAACAAATCATGGCTAGTAACTGTATAGTAATATCATAGTTTTTCAATTCAAAAAAAAACGATGGAAGATTTTAATGGCATATATATAAAGCCCTTAGAAAAACAACTTTATTGGTAAAGCTCATTGTTTATAAATGGAAAACATTTTCTCATGGAAATAATCATATAACTGACTGTTAAGTGCCCAAGCTAGAAGCAAAATGTCTTCCATTAATTTACTAACAATAAGCATCAATGGCTTACTATTGTAGTTAGCATAAAATCTAAACTCATTAACATGGACTATAAAATCTGCATAATCTAGTCCTTGCCTTATCACTCTCCCTTTCATTCATTTAGCTCTATCAACATTGGCTTCTTTCTTTTACACTGAGAAAAAGCCTTGGTTCGCTCCTTGACACCCTCGGCTCTGAGTAGAATGCTACTTGTGCATTTCGTACCTGCCACCTCACCGCTGCTCCTTCTCAATGCCACTTCCACTCACAGCCACCAACACCAACATGAACGGGAGCTCAATAGCTTCCACAAGGCATCCATTGAGGAGGGCACGTTCCTCTTCACCTCAGAGTGGGTGGAGGAAAGCTACCCATATAAGATCTGTGACCAGATCAGTGAGGCTGTCCTTGAAGCCCACCTTCAACAAAATCCTGATGACAAAGTAGCTTGTGAAACTGTTGCTAAAACTGGAATGATCATTCTTGCTGGAGCAATTACATCCAGAGCTGCTGCTGACTACCAGAAAGTGGTTGGTGAAGCTATTAAACACACTGGATATGATGATTCTTCCAAAGGGTTTGATTACAAGACTTGTAATGTGCTGGTAGCCTTGGAGCAAGTCACCAGTTATTGCTCAAGGTATTCATCTTGACAGAAATGAAGAAGACACTGGTCCTAGAGACCGGGGCTTGATGTTTAGCTAAGTCACTGATGAAACTGAGGAAGCTATGCATGCCTTTAACCAGTCATGGAATACAAACTTAAAGCCAAACTGGCAGAACTATGCCATAATGGCATTTTGCCTTGGTTACGCCCTGATTCTAAAAACTCAAGTTACTGTGCAGTATATGCAGGATCAAGGTACTATGCTTCCCATCAGAGTCCACACAATTCCTGTATCTGTTCAGCATGATGAAGAGGTTTGTCTTGATGAAATGAGGAATGCCCTAAAGGAGAAAGTCATCAAAGCCGTTGTGCCTGAAAAATACCTTGAGGAGGATACAATCTACCACCTACAGCCAAGTGGCAGCTTTGTTATCGGTGGGCCTCAGGGTGATCTTGTTTTGTTTGACTGAATGGAAAAACCATTGTGGACACTTAATGGTGGTTAGGGTACTCATGGAAGAGGTGACTTTTTAGGAAAGGATTATATTAAGGTCAACTGTTCAGCTGCTTATGCTGGTCATTGGGTAGCAAAATCCGTTGTTAAAGGAGGTCTGTGCAGGAGGGTTCTTGTTCAAGTCTCTTATGCTATTGGAGTTTGTTATCCATTATTTATCTCCATTTTTCATTATGGTACCTCTCAGAAGAGTGAGAGAAAGCTATTAGAGATTGTGAAGAAGAATTTCAATCTCTACCCTAGGGTCATTGTTCAGGGATCTGGATCTGAGGAAGCCAATTTATCAGAGGACTGCAGCCTATGGCCACTTTGGTAGAACAGCTTACTATAGGAAGTGCCCAAAAGGCTAAATATTAAAAGTGTTAGCCTCTTTTCTCCATACTTGTTGGCATAGGCTACAGAGAAGCCTTCAAGCTCTGAGGGAAAGGGCCCTCCTTCCTAAATTTTCCTGTCCTCTTTTAGCTCCTGATCAGTTGTAGTCACTCTAGTCAATGACATGAATTTTAGCTTTTGTGGGGGACTGTAAATAGGGCTTGGTATTCTGTCCCTATGTGTTTTATTCACCATTGTAATGAATTTAGTGAGCATAGGTGATCCATGTAACTGTCTAGAAACAACATTGTAGTAAATAATGCTTTGAAATTGAACCTTTGTGACCTATGACCCAATGCTCCAAAGTCCCAATCACATTGACTTTCCCACCAGATGCTGAAAATGTCCTTGTAATGTGCACATAAAGTACTTGTAGTTCCACTTATAGCCTCTGGCTGGCAATGCCACAGCACTGTCAGCATGAATTTGTAATATCTTGAGCTCTATTATGAATGCGAAGCCTTCCCCTTATCTTCCCTGTAACTTGATCCATTTCTAATTATATCCCTTTTTGACAGGGAATGTTCCCTATCTGATCAATCTTGCATGCAATGCAAGTTCCCAGTTGGAGCTCTAGCCTGACATCAAAAAAAGACATTTACTATTAAACCATCTCCCTGGTGTTTATGCTCTTAATTGCCACCTCTTTAACAGCACCAAATCAAAATCTCTCCATTTTCAGCTATCTTTTGGAGAACATTCATAGTAAGGTTTTAATTTAGTAAACCAATCCTATGCATTGCTTCAACACTAACCAAACCTCATCAACTCCTAGCTCTAGTAAAACAGACACTTGGCACGTTTGTGATGTCATACAGAGGAATCACAGGGCAGTACCTGAGGGTCTGTAGGTTGCACACTTAGATACTAGATAACTATTTTTTTCTTTATAAGAAAGCCTCAGTACTTCACACTGTATAATAATTCCTCCCAGGGTTTTAACTTTGTTTTATTTTCAAAACCAGGTCCAATGAGCATTCTGAACAGCTGGTGTAGCTATAGAGAAGTCAGCTTCCTTCAGAGAGCAGTGCTTTTGGCAGGAAGGAGGAAATCCCTTCATACTTGAACATTTTCTAATTGCTTATTTATTATATTGTGGGGTATGGTGTAGTACAGAGAAGCCATCACCTCAGATGGCAGCTTTTAAAAGATTTTTTTTTTCTCTCAACACCATGATTCCTTTAACAACAAGTTTCCAGCATTCTCAGGTAGGCCAAGTTGTCCTACAGAAAAACTTGGGTTAGACCTACAGGTGATCTGGCTGGTGTTAACAGAAGGAAGGGCCAAGCTGGTGTGGCTGGCCATGGAGAAAACTGACTTGGCTGGTGTGGTACAGAGAAGCCAGCTTATTTACATGCTTATTCCACGACTGCTTGCCCTAAGCAGAAACTGCCTTTCAGGATCTATTTTTGAAGATTTATTACATTTGTCTGCTTCTCAATTCCAACAGTTTAATAAAGATCTAAATAAAATGATAGGTTCTACCTTAAAAAAAAGAAAAAAGAAAAAGCTCTGTAAAACGAGGGACACACACACACACACACACTCACAAATTGGCTTAATTCTATTCCTTTGGGTCTGACATGCTCTTTTCTGAGAAGCTTCTCACATTCTGTTTCCCTCACCTAAGAGTCAGACTGACAAAGAATGGTGAACTGACCATTCTAGGCCCTATTGCAGGAGAGAGATTTTATGAGAAAACACCTTTATAAAGAATTATTCTGGGTGTCAGGAACGTATCTTCCCCTGATGGATTGAAATTCATCTTACAGATATACCCAAACATGTGCAAACGGTATCTCCACAAGAACTTATATGATGTCATATACAAAACACTAGAAATAA